TTACGATACAACTATTTAATTAATCCTAAAGCATGAAATTATTTCTATTCATCTTGAAAACAAACATTGAAAAAAAACCCACACGTACAAAATACAAACTAAACACAAGGTTGATCAAACTTACAATCTAAGGTTAATATTCTTAAAGTAAACATATATGAGTTTCATAAACTCCAGATCGCGTCTAGCCAAAATATCCCAAACTGGAACATTAGGTTGTCTACCTCGAGCCCGAAGGGAATCATAAAAATGTGATCTGACTCCACGATACTCCGCACAAGACCAAAGGATGTGATCAGCGTCCTGGTAACCTTGTCCACATTCACAGAGATTGCTAGATGTCGCTATCTGCGTTGTTTGTTTTTTTTCTTCGCTTGTGCTCCCGGTATAGAAATTTGTGGCGTCGCAAGTGATAGTTTTTGATTTCAGCTTGTTTACGCGTTGTATGATTTCGTGAGCGGTCGCTTCGTGTTCGCGTCATGGAGCAATCGACTACATTCAACCAGAGGATTGATCCCCGTAGGGCGGGTCTATGACCGGAGCTACTACACCAAGCGTGACATAGCTGCTTGCAAGGGATTCAGTTGGACTGATTTGGTGAGATTGTTCCTTTTCCTACTTTTGTCTATTTAAACTTAATTTCTATGAATGCGTATCGTTTGGAATCATTTGATTCGGATGAAACTCTTAACTTTTATTTGTTTACATTGTGTTTCAATCGGTATTCTTAAGAACTTCACAAAATAAGGTCCCAATATTTAAAATGAGCAGCTCGACTAGCCTGGTGGCTGCCGCTTTTGCTTACTGAGTAGAAGACCGTGGGGAATCCACATTGTAAAGATTCCCTATTTTCAGCTTTTCTACAGGCTGGAGTTGTTGTTTGAACCATTTAGTTTATCAATTTAATTTTTCTGTATAACAATTATTCACAAGCATTCTTCCAGGTTAATTCAATTTGATGATGATAAATGTTCCTAATATTCACATTACAGTTATGACCCGATCCTGTCAACCTCTTCGCGCATCGGACTGTTATTTTTCAATAATTCCACATAATTGTAATTTCATACCTTCCTCTTTCAAGATGAATGTTTAAGATACACATACTTTGCTAGCTGACAAAATAAGGTCATTGCTGTATAATTATTCTCTTTTTGCAGCCTTCATTCAGACTGGATCTATTGATTTAAATTATTTGAGTTTTCTCTAGCTCTTTGATGACGGAACACCGATATAGATCTCTTACAGCTTTCACCCTGGTTTTGTCTGTTGATTTGATTTGTTTGAATTGGTTTTCAGCTCTTTGGTGTTGGCAGTCGGGGGCGATCAATTTTGCTCATGCTTTAAGTTTATTTTCAGCATTTCGATGATGGAACGTCTTCAGATTTATATTATAATGGGGCTTATTACGGATGTCACATCACGGTGAAAAGTTGTCACTTGTCGTCACGGTGAAGTGATTCCCATTTGATTCGTACGGTAATCACGGCTCTTATTCTGAGTATCACTTGCTTATCACCGTGTAGTGACACCCGTAATAAGGCCCAATGATACACCATTTGGTTTTGGCTTCGGGCAAATCCAAGTATAATGCATGATAACACTGATTCATTTAAAACCATGGTCGCATCACTTATCAAGGTGAATCCTGATCCAACGACCCCAACTTACTAACAAAATCTCCTTTCCTGTGCCTTTTGTTGGGGTGCAGAGGTAAACACGGCCCACAAACAACAAAGGTCACTCTAATATTCCTTCCCTACTACCACCTGATTGCAAGGACGTGGCCGGCGCCGTTATTGATCTACAAAATATAGAATCACTGAAACTTGTACAATGAGAATGGACGGTCACTCCCAGCCCCATTCAGTTGATTCATTGTACAATTTCACTGATTCTGATCAATCACGGAGTAGCAACCATTGATATGTGCAGTCAATCTAAGCTAAGCTAGCTATTGGTTATCTTATATGTATAGTGTTTATAGTACTACATATCTTTCATTATTGACTTTACATCATTTAATATTGTTATAAATTACATTTTATTATACTTAATTCTAAATATTAGCTATTATGAGCGGCTCCAGGGAAGCATAGTGCCAGCTTGAAAAGAAATCTGAATCGTTCATTATTTGGCCTATTCTGCGCGGCGTGTGAGGTGAGGTGACACACTGTCACCTGTGAAGTGACAATTGTCACCTCGGGTGAGGTGACTCTCCGTACAAATCAAATGGAGTCACCTCACCCGAGGTGACAATTGTCACTTCACCATCACTTCACTGTCACATCACCTCACACGCCGCGCAGAATAGGCCTATATTTGTTTTGTAAAAATCTTGTGTTTATTGTATCTTGTTACATGGCATTATAACGCATTTTCAATATTATATTACATTTAAATAAGTATTATTCCGGTAACACACATTTCAGGTCATCCAGGTCTTAAATAAGATGGGATCCGTTCCTTTTATCAACAGTTGTGATATTGCATCATATGCTGAAACTGGAAATTTCAGGGTCACATCTTCCTTATTGGGAGCTGAGGAGATATAGAGCTGCATCTTATTATATGTAAAATAATGATTATTTTCATTGCAGAATACCAGTTTTTTATCCATATAAATGTATTTTCATTATTACGTATTTTAATATTCTGATATATTTCATTTCTCCATTACATATGTTTACTATATATAAATAAATACTGGGTTGGGAGGGAGCATCAGGGTATCATTTGACCTGGAACTGGACGATTGGAGTGGTATGACAACCGGAGTCTAGGAGGGAATAAACACTATCATTTTCTTTATCCTACCGATTCGATTGTTATGGTGCGAATTCTACTCCAACAGTTTCATGGAGATTGACGTGCCCTTCTTAACAAACCATCCTGTAGGAAGCTTAATAAGTATTGCGAATTGCGTTATTCGATTTGTTGGATCGTATCGTTGGAAGGAGATTCTTAAATTCCCGTGGATTTCACGTAAGTACCTCTGCTTACGGGTCCACCCCACCGTTTTTGGCCCTTCATACAGCGATATTGTGAATTCAGATCGGTAGCTCAAATTGATCTTGCTATTAAGTGGAGCTGCATACAAGACAAGATCTTCGAAGGGATGGTGGCTAACTTACATACATACATACAATTGAAATATATCGTACAACCGGGAAAACTTCAAAAATTCCGGGAAAAAAACGGGGAATTGATAATCGGAATTTGCTGGTCACCATGAAAATAATATTTCTATTTTTCCCCCTTTGGGCTTACGTTTTTTCATCGGAAAATTTTTTTGTTCAAAAAAAGTTTTTCTCGGGAAATTTAATTTATTGATTTTTTCAACTTTTTCGATTATACCAAACCCGACCTTTTCAGGGCGACAATGATATTTTTACCTATTGAGTTAATTTTGATAAGTTATACTTATGATAAGTTAACCTAAATGTAAGGATAGTTTCACATGAACTGAAAAATAAAATAAATTAGAAATACAGTCAGCCCAGTATTATGGATCGCCCACAATTATGGGCCACTTCCACACAGAACTGACTAGGCTACTAGACTAGGCCCATAATACTGGAATGACTGTATATAAATTCTACACACCGATAGATATCAACGCTTATTTCATCTTGCAAGAAATAATGTTTTACTCAAAATAGAGCATTTTTAGCGTAGAATTGTTTTGCGAAAAAAATAAGGGTACCGGTAGAGTTGTTTGCAAATTTTCTCCCTCACACACACACACACACACTCACACACACACACACACACACACACACACACACACACACACACACACACACACACACACACACACACACACACACACACACACACACACACACACACACACGTCTCTTACTTATGATATGTGCTTACCTCGCAGTATCCTCTAACTTTCACATAAAACAATAAATATTGACTGTAAGCAGGGTTGCTTCCACTCACTTGCTATAAAAAAAATGATTTCCTGAATTTTGAAATCATTAGATGTTACAATGATATTTTGTACTTGTTAGATACAAGAAGAGGTTGAAAGGCAAGTGTTTGACTCATAAAATCAGTCAATTTCGCTACCAGAGTGTTACAATCAGCGATTTTATGATTCGTGAGCGTTCACTCAGAATGAGCGCTCGCGAGTCGTAAAATCGCTGATTGTGACTATCTGAAAGCAAATTTGACAAGTTTCATGTGTCAAACACTTGCCTTTCAACCTCTTCTTGTATCTAACAAGTACAAAATATGATTATAACATCTATTGATTTCAAAATTCAGAAAATCATGTTTTTATAGCAAGTGAGTGAAAGTAAGCCTGACTGTAAGGTCGTTAACTGTAATTAATAAGACTAATGTATTTGATGATAATTTATCATTTTGAACATTACAATTTACCAACATTTCTCAAACTTTGGCACAACACCTCTTTAACACCACAGACCACAGTTAAGTTCCAGTAGGGACATGAAAGCCAAGAAGAAGAAAAATGAAAATCTTAGTGTTTAATCAAACAGCAGCATTGACAATCAATGCACTAAATCTTCTTCTGCTTCTTTTTCTTCGCATTTCAAGCTTATTGCATATCGCATTGCGTGCTCTCAACTTAGTGGTCTAGATGCATTTGCACAGTTATTAATTGAGAGATTTCGATGCCTGTAACATTTTTGCATAATTGTGTGGCAAAGTCCAATCATACTTCTATGCCCAGGGAAGACGAGAAATTTTCCAACCCGAAAAATTCCTAGACCGGACCGGGAATTGAACCCAGCCACTTCCAGCATGGTCTTGCTTTGTAGCTGCGCCTTTACCGACTGAGCTAAGGGAGGCCCCATTTAGTAAATCTCCAACGTTCAAATCAAATTTCATTCGCTCCCGGATAGTAGTTAGAGAGGATAGACCCTCTCTAGAAGTAGTATTCTCAATTGTTCCTCCCATCCGATACACTCCATCAGCCGAACGAACACTCATGCGCTGTGAACATCCCGTATGAATTACACCAATGTAGCAACAAGTTGCATCAACCTCGTGACTGTCACGCGTGCCAGTTTTCTCGTGCAGCTTCGCATCCGTCACAGTCGAATTGAATCCAAGTGAACACAGATCAGTGTTTATTCTGGCATCAGCTGTGATTTTGACGGAAACATTTTTTGCAAAACATAAATCCAGATGCGAACCGTTTGCGGAAATCTGCTGAAAATGGGCTTCCTTGGCGGTGGGAAAACGGCACAGGCCATGGCCAAAGGATTCATATCGGCAGGTTGGTTGATAGTGATGAAATACTTTCATTTTATCTCAATTGATCGGTTCTTAAACGTGGTCAATGCATTCAATCGGTGTTATATTTATAGGATTAGTGAAGGGAGAAAACATCGCAGCCAGTTTCAGTGCGAACGACGAGACAAACTTGCAAGCATTCAAAGAACTTGGAGCCGGGACGTATCTCGATAGTGTACCGGTGGTGAAGCGATCCGAAGTGGTGTTCATTACACTGAAACCATGGGTGATACCAACGGTTCTGCAGCAAGTCAACACGTGCAGTAAGGACAAACTGTTCATTTCCGTTGCGATGGGCGTCAAGCTAAAGGAATTGGAAAAGGTGAGCTCTACAAGATTAGGGTTGTAAGAATCAAAGCACGCATTTAATTTCAGTCATTGCTGCCAACGGCTCGTATCATCCGGGTGATGCCAAACACGGCGACGTTGGTTCGATGTGGCGCATCGGTCTTCGTGCGAGGTAAAGCAGCAACCGAGGATGATTGTACGTTGACACAAGTTCTGCTAGAATCGGTTGGGACCTGCGACGAAGTAACGGAATCATTAATCGACCCCATCACCGCTCTGTCGGGAAGTGGTCCGGGGTATGTTTTCACCATGATTGAAGCGATGGCCGACGGGGCCGTCAAGATGGGACTGTCCCGGGATTTGGCGTACAAGTTGGCTGCCCAAACGGTTATGGGAGCCGGAAAGATGGTTCTGGAAACGGGAGCACATCCTGCACAGCTGAAAGACGATGTCGCAAGCCCCGGAGGGTCAACCATTACTGGGCTTTCGTTTTTGGAAAAGAATGGTAAATTATATATTGATGGTTTGTAGCAATAGAGCTAAAGTTTGTTCATTTTAGCATTTCGCTACATCGTCAGTGGTGCTATCGAAGCGGCTACCGAAAGGTGTCGCGAGGTTTCGGGAAAAGAATAAACCAATTGAAATGACGATTCTGAGTGCGGAAATATAATGTCAAATTAGATCACGTAACAAGAACATCATATTTTATGTATGTAAGGTAATCCAATTGCTTCCAATATAACGTGAAATCCAAAACAATAATCTTGCACAGTTGCATAGTTGTACTTTTAATTGCAATGTTCTTATATGTATGTGTCTTAAAACTACCTGGGTAAATGAATTTTTATTTGCGTGGCTCATTGATAAAATAAAGATATAGTTTATGGTTTATGATTTGACTGTTGTAAAAATTACTTAACCAGAAAATCCTGATTTGTCCACCCACCTTTTTCGGAAGAAAATATTAAAAATTATTTCATATTATGGTCATCGCAATATGCCGGAGTGTTCAGTTAGTGTTGTGGACCCTAATATGAAGTAAATTGAAGTTTATAGTGAGTGAAAACAACACATAAATAAGCACATTGGTAACATGTAAGCAAGTGACAACTACTTAAAGCTGTTTAACAAAAAAAAACCTTTATTGGTTTGAAAATCTATAAGCGTGACTTTAGACAAATTCAAGATAAGTCCATGATGTGCTGAAATAAAATACCTTGAGATGTTCCTAGAGATTCAGTACACCCCTTAAGTATTATCCATAAAATTAAGAGGACTTATGCTCCGATTTCAAATGTGTGAATAAACCTAGGAATATTGAGTGTATTTATTTTAAAATTCATCATTTTCTTTGGAATATCCTTAGTAAGAAAATTGTTGAATTTCTTGAGTCATGATAAGATTTCCTGAGACTTCCAGGTATTTTTGGGATAAATAAAATTCCGTGAGAATTCCCGTTTTTTTTTAGGGTTTCAAGGTAGCAGACACTTGGAGGTTTAGCCATAAACTTTCTATTGAATCTTTCGCTCTAAAGGTTCATATCGTACATATTTAAGTGTTTATGAGATCTAAAACATCAAATATTTATTTGGTATGCCATCAGAACGACTAATTTTCTACCCTTAGGTCACTTTTTTACAACTAAGTCACTATTTGGTCACTTATTTCTTCAACATGGTCACTAAAATCACTACTTTTGACAGCATTGATCGCTACCAGCCCTGCCCTGCAAGTACAAAATATCATCTTTTATCTTTTGATTTCATAATCCCATAAACCAACTTATGCTTACAGTTTTTACCACACAACAACATTTTTTTCATGCAGATTTACGACGATCACAGTGTATTTCATAGCATAATGTTATTATTTTGTGAATTCCAAGTACACTGTACAAGTGCAGTACACTCAACATAAATACAGAGTAGAAATGCATCGAGTAGTTAAATTCAGGAATTGGATGTTTGCATGCAATTTTAGCTGGTAGCTACCAACAGACTGACAAAACGTTCAAACTAGAATTTGCCCACCACAAGTGTAATATAAATGCTCATTTTATCAAATAATTGAAAGGAAAGCACCTTAAATAAAATGATCATAAATGCTCCTGAAAATCCCAGGAGATTATGTGAACACTGTTAGACAATTATAACCCCAATAACTTTTCGTAGTCCTGTCACATCCTATAGCTAAGCCGCTTAATACACATTAGTGTTTCCTCATTTGCATAAACTTTTTTTGCCACTTCAATAAGAGACTGTACTGCTGTCGCAATATAAAATCCCCCCAACAATCAAAACTCATCAAAAAGCATTACCAATTTGCTAAATGATGGAAAAATGGTGCTATAGCCCAAAAAACCAACCTAATAAACAGTGCCGAAGCCACTGCTCCTGTGGTGGTAATTTTTCAAATTAACTAATTGCGTAATTAAATCCAAAATACGTACGTCGGGTATCATAATTCCTAATTAGATCGATTCTTTTATCGGAGGTCGACAGCCGTATCCAAATTTTTCGAAGAAAAATAATCTAAAACTTGTCAGCTTAAAGTAATAATTTATTCACCCGAACACATTTTTACCATACAAAAGCCTAACCTGAATACATGTTACAAGCAAATTTTTCACATTTACCCAAATTTGCATCTTCAATATATATGATAATTAAGTAGGTGCCCTTTCGAATGTGCCATTGGAAAATCCAAGCCAAACGTGCGACACTGCCTCCCGAAGTCGTTTTTATGTCCGTACATACTTCGCCTCAGGCAGTGAGAGTTGCATAAAGCTGCAGCATGAATCAAAACTGGCAAAGGATCGCCTCATCTGCACCATAACCAGATCCCAACTACTAAGCCAGGACCGAACGGAGCAACAGCATCAGCTCCCAAAAGTGAATGTTGATCACTTTTAAATTGATCCTAATGAGATTGGGTCCATCCGTATCCGTGTGGTTAAAATGTTGCATCTTGTTGAAAACCTGTGCATATCAGAAAAAAAAATGATGCGACGATGGCGATAGTGATTGAAATTTCGAACTTTTGACGCCTCGAGGCAAAACAACCGGTATATACGAGTCCGTGCGGCCATGAGAGCCAAAATCGACAACGGCAACATTGTTGCAAATCTGTTTCCAATGATGTTTAATTAAAAGATAATTTTCAAATAATGACATCGTGTGTTTGTGTATCGTGATGGCGGGTCTGTCATACTTACTGCACGAATATTGCCAGCACGCATCCTGCCCAGAAAGGATTATCGGCAATCCCATGGCTGCTGTCGGTGCGAATGGGAATTAAACCTTGGACTGCAATCGGAATCGACAGTGCAATTGCCATTTTCGCGCCTTCTGGAAGTGTGTAACTGATGGTGCGGACGCTTTTAACCTTTGAATAGCAGTTAGTTTAAGGTACTGGTAAGTCAGGTGAGTAGGTATTAGTTCCAGTTCGAACGACAACTGCATAGAATTTTAAAAAAATGGGTTGAAAGTCAACCCCTCATAAAGCTCAACACCAGTTTACTTGAAGATTGAAGCAATTTGGTTTCTTCTGATTTTAATTCCTCTTTCCGAATTTTGAGACCCAACAGGAAATTTGTCCAAACAAAGCTAGCCGCCATCTTGAATCACAAAATGGCGGTAGACCTTGATTTTCAGCTTCTATAATGTCGTGCCCGATCCTTAGAATTTGGGGCCATCATCTAGGATTGAAAATCTCCAACTTAATTATAGGTCTGCCATCTTGGATTTCAGAATGTCACTGATTCCAAATACTACCATAACTGTTTCCACGAAGATATTCAAATTTATATTTTTGACGTAGGACTACGTCTTTGAATTCTATATGGGGGTACAATTTGTGAAAACCGAAAATGGAACATGTAACAAATTAAGAAAGATTTTGAACGTTAAAAACTTAGCTGCCCCTGGTCCAATTTCAATAATTTTATCATCGATCGATCAGAAATATGGCTACGCATCGATAACAATGCTTCCGAATGTTGATTTTCAACTGGTAAATGTCCAGCATTGTCCAAAAGCGACGAATTAACAAACAAATCCACCAATTACCTACATGCATATGCTGCTTCCCCAGCACAGTCGTCAGAGAGTAGTAAGTAAATGAAACAAGTCGAAGTGGCATTCGCCTCCGATCCTCGGGCGTGTGCGAATAGGGAGGATTGAGTTGCGTAATATTTTGCACACTCATCGCCATATTCAGAACCAAACGCAAATTCTTCAAGATAACCACCATCCGTCGTCTGGCTCGCCGTGGCGGTGTCTGACGTATCTCCGGTCTGATTTACGAGGTGTGCTGAAGGTGTTCCTGAAAAATGAGATCCGTGATACTGTCACCTACACTAAACACACCAAGCGTAAGCAGCCATGGATGTCGCAGCCATGGAGACGCACTCTGTTTGGTTTCGGAGGTTAAATCATCACCAACTTTGGCAACAAAACGCCTCTTTTCAGGGCTACCAAGCTTATTACAGTAAAGAGTAGGAATAGAATTCATCTGCCTGTTTGTCTATATTTAGAACCAACGACCACATAAAATGCTCATGTAATCAAACTGGAAGCAGGGGTACAAATTATTTTGATCAACCTTGATCAACTTTGAATCGCCACGGCCCGATATTTTTGATGGAAGAAGCAACAATCTAGCATCTAATTCGACGAAGACGGCAGGAAACATTTGTGAAGCCGAGTTATTTACGAAAGAGAGTGTCGATGAAGAGAATCGATCAATGTAGATAGGACCTATTAAAAAGTGACGCGAGATTTGTTTTCCGTACTGAGCTCCAATGCTACCGACACCAGGGAGGCAGCTCCCACACCTGCACCCTACCAATCGACCCATCAACTCAACCGGGGACCAACGGCTTTACTTCCCGAAGGAAGGTGGGATCAGAGATGTTATGCCTTAGAACATGCCGGTGGCGCCGACTGAGATTGGACCCAGGCCTGCTGGGGTGAGAGGTAATCACGCTAACCACCAGCGCCGATATCTTTCAAGGTGAGATCACGGCGAATGAGATCGACCCAAATTTGAGTTTAGTTATCTCAGAAATAAGAAATAAAGTGCAGGAACTCAGCGACAGTGATGGAAAAGTTCATCAAAGTTCCCTATGACTCGCGAACTTTTCCAACACTGCTCAGCGATGAGTAAATTTGCCTCATGTTTTCCCAGGTTTTTCCAGGATTTTCCAGGGAAAAATTCCCGAATTTGAGAAAAGTAAAGATTGGATTCACTCAGTCTATTGGTACTACTCCGAGACTGAATAAAATTTTCGTCAATTTACTCATTTTCTGTCAGATTTTTTATGTTTTCCACAGGAAACCATGAGACAAATTTACTCATCGCTGAGTTCCTGCACTTTTGGCGATTATGAGTGAACTAAACTCAAATTTGGGTCGTTCTCATTCGCCGTGTATGCAAAAGGAAAAGAGCCAGTGTCGCTACTTGATAGCAAACTACTCATAATGGGAGGAGTCTTTGTAGCTTTTAAACCACTTGGTTGCACATCATTCTGCTTTAACCTGAAAAGATATAAAAGAGCGCTGCTGTATGGCATTAGCTGCTCATTCGTTGCTAGACCGTCTAGCAGTATAGTTCGTTCGTTCGTTCGCTTCGCTATCGAGTTTTTTCTAGTTCGTTTTATTGCTACGTTCGCGTCGTGGAAGTGCCGTCATCGACAGGCGCATTGGCAAGTCTAATTGCACTTGCCAATAAACAAAGCATTGTACGCAAGCGTACTACTGCTCCTGCATCGGAGGGCCCTAGCAAGAAGGCCCAAACGGATCCCAGCGCTGCTTCGGATGACGCAACAAATCGGCTGCT